TGGGAGCTCGGGGAAATGACCCGGGTGAGGACACGCGAAGGCCGGGAGGAATGTGCACAGCCGGAGAAAGCTGGCGGGGCCCCCGCAAAGGTCTTTCCGCGAGTCTAGAAAGATCTTCTTCCGACCCATGGGGCTATTCGGAGCGTGCCTCCTCCGCTCTGCAGAATTGCGTGCTCCTTCCACATAAGGGACAGACAGCAGTGCCTGGAAAGTTCTCAGGGAAAAGTGGCGTTCGGCGTAAGGGGAAAGCAAGGTTCCAAGGCAGTACGCGGGTTCCCGGATCCCGCCGACCTCCAGGCTCCTCTAGTTGCGCCTCCCAACCTGGCCATTTTTGTAATTTCTGGGCCAGAGCACCAGCTCGGCATCCCTCAGGGCATCCACAGCCCCCAGGGGAGGTAGGCTCGCCTAGCATGACCCAGAGCCAACCCGACCGAGCACTCGCGCACCCGCTGCGCTGATGCATCTGGCTCGGTCCTGGAAGGGCTCCTCGCGGACACACCCTCTCGCGGAAGCCGCTAACTGGGGACTGTGGGAGCCTAGTATTTGGGAAAGCACACTGATATGCAGGGACCTGCGCTAAGGACTCCTTGAGACTTTCCTTCTCCAAGAACCGTCAGTCCCCAGCTCTCCTTGGGAACGCATAGGTCCAGTGGGGTGTCGGACAGTGTCAAAAGCAGTATAAGAGAAACAAAACTTCCTTTTTTATATATATCCGGAGATTGAACTCAGGCCCTTGCGCTTGCCAGGCAAGCGCTTATTCTACTGAGCCATCTCCCCAGACCCAGTTCTCATCTTAACTAAATCCATGCATACACCTGAGAATCAGTGGTGATTTCAGGTCCCGCCTACTGCTTTTAAGGAGCTGATGCGCAATTCGCTTTTATGCTGCCCTCCAACACTAAGGTCCGAGCCCCCTCAGTAGCATTCTTTAGACTCTTACTCTGTGCCGGGCACTGCTGAAATCTTTACGGTGCTTGGCAGGCGGAGGGGCTTACAATTTGCACAGCCAATCATCTGCTACCACTGTAGCAGACTGGGTTAGTTGTGCCAGGGAATAGGAATCACGCAGATTCCCCAAATA